GGCGGCGACCGAACCGGCCGGAGGCGGGGAAGACGATGGTTCCAGAGGGATTTGAGCGGGGGGGTGCACTCTACGGCTTGCCTGAGGATGCTCAAGCAAGGTCGGGGGCCATTTATAGTCGGGGGAAGGTCGGTTCCGCCGCTGCTGGGGATAAGATCGCCGGCCGACCGCTTCTATTGTGGCAGAGCGACGTGGCGATGGCCGGAGCAGGGTCGGTGCTAGCGGACGGGCTTGGGGATAAGGGCGGCCTGCTCACGAGGGCAGCTGGCGAGGAGTTGTGGCTTGGGCGGCACCGTCCATGGCAGGGCGTACTGTGGCCGTCAGCGTGCCTCCAAGAGGGACCTGGCGGCGGCGCTGTAGGGCGCCAGGGGCGAGCTGGCGTGTTTTGGTGAGTGGATGAGGTCGGGGTGCGGCTCTGCAGGCGAGCAAGGGTCGGGGCGCGACGCGGCGACCCGTGCGCACGCACGTGCAAAACGCGCGCTCTGGGCGCGCCCAGAGCACGCACACTACGTGCTCGGCAATATGCCAAGGCATGCTAGGGGGCTCCAATCCACAAGAGGGTTAGCAGGGTGGGGCTATAGGCTAGAGCAAATCCATGGGACATGCTGGTCTGGTCAGGGGATCAAGTGCATAACACAAACCAAAAACTAAGCCAAAACTGGTCATGCACGCAAGGTACTTGACAGAATGCCAAGGGCATCTAGGTAACTCTTGGGGTGGCCACAATCTCCAGATCAGTGTCTCCTTGGATGAATAAGGGGGTGGTGAAGTTAGTTGATCAAAAGTAAAAACTTGTTAGTGCAAGTTTGTGAGAAAACTGATTCTGGACAGAAAGTAAAAGGCACTGTTGCATGAACTTAAAATCCTCCAATGGGTCCACTCTTGTGGACTTAAGGGTTTTGTAAGATGGGCTATAAGCAGGAGAAAGCTCAAGGGAACTAGAGCAAAATAAATTAGGGTTGCAGTAGAAACAGCCAAACTGGCCAGGAAGCAAAAGAGGTTGATTCACTCAAATTTTACAAAGAACATCAATGGGTTTTTGCATAAAGTTGAATAAAATACTCCTATTAACATCTCACAATTTTGGTGGAGGTTTTAAAGAAATATTTAAATAGGTTGCAGTGCAAAATTGCCCACTGGACCAGATTTGAAAACCTGGTGTAGAGCTCTAAATATCCAATGAATGAAATATATTTTTGCATAAAAGTGATTTAAAAACATCACATGACATCCCCAAATTTTGGTTGGAATTTTAAATAAATTTATAAAAGGGTTGTAGTTCAAATGGGACTCTAAAACCATGGGAAACCATTTTTAAAGAAATGAAGATCAGGAAAAATAATTATATAATTAATCCCATTGATAAAAGAAAAGTTTTCTTGGGAGGGTAAACAAGTCCAATAATATATTTGGAAAGTTTTCACTTGGGGGAAAAATTCCATAATAACCAAGAAAGAATGGTTCTGAAATCAAAAGAAAAAAATCCAGAAAGTAAAAATTTAATTTCCTGGCAAAATTTTAATCAATGAAACAAGGTCAAAATTTTGGGATGTCACATTAGGCCCATAAGCCTCTGCAACGTGATGTATAAAATTATCTTCAAGGTAATAACAAACATGCTTAAAGGAATTCTCCCTGGCATTATAGCCCCTAACCAGAGCGCTTTTGTGCCTGGGCGCCTAATATCTGATAATATCTTATTGGCGTATGAACTAACACATTTTCTACAGAGGAAAAGAAGTGGCGCAACGGGGTATGCAGCAGTCAAACTAGACATGAGTAAAGCTTATGACCGCGTCGAATGGCCCTTCTTGAAGGATATGATGAAAAAATTGGGCTTTGATAGAGATTGGATTAAATTGATCATGAAATGCATTACCACTATCAAATACCAGATCAAAGTCAACACAGATGTCACTGACACAATTATACCCCAATGAGGTCTTCGCCAAGGAGATCCTCTTTCACCATATCTTTTCCTAATCTGTGCGGAGGGGTTCTCAGCCATGCTTCACAAGGCCGAACTGAATGGTTCACTCACAGGAATCAGAATCTGTAGGGGAGCCCCTAGTGTTAGCCACCTACTTTTTGCGGACGATTCTTTGCTGCTGATGGAGGCTAACTCTAATAATGCCCAACAAGTTAACCGTGTTCTGAACACATATGAAGCCTGCTCTGGTCAAATGATTAATAAGGATAAGTCATCAATCATGTTTAGCAAGAACACAAAGAGATGCCAAAACAAAAAACTAGGGGTATCTTGCAGATCGATGTGGAGGGCCTATCATCAAAATATCTAGGCCTTCCAACATACGTAGGACAAGCGAGGGCAAAGACTTTCACATATGTGAAGGGAAGAATTTGGAAAAAGATCCAAGGTTGGAAGGAGAAGTTGCTCTCGAAGGCAGGGAAGGAAACCTTGATAAAAGCCATAGCACAAGCAATTCCCGTCTATACTATGGCATGTTTTGACATCACCAAGGGCCTGTGTGAAGAACTGAACACCATGATCAACAGGTATTGGTGGAGTCAAGTTGACAAGGAAAACAAAGTGCACTGGGTAAGCTAGGAGAAATTGACAAGAGTGAAGAAAAATGGGGGCCTGGGTTTTAGGGAGCTCCATGCTTTCAACCTAGCTACGCTAGCAAGGCAAGCATGGAGACTGCTCCAAAACCCTTCTTCGTTATGTGCACAGGTGCTTTCAGCAAGATACTACCCAAATAGCTCAATATTGGAGGCAGTTCCAACTCGTGGCATCTCACATACATGGTGGAGTATTCTTAAGGGAGTGGAACTGTTGAAGAAAGGGATCATTTGGAGAGTTGGCAGTGGTGAGCATATTAATATATGGAGTGACCCTTGGATACCAAGGAACAACAGAAGAAGGGTCATCAGCCACAAAGGAAACAATGTGATCACTAAAGTGAATGAGTTGATTAATCCTATGACGAACAGTTGGGATGAGGATTTGGTGAAGCAAACCTTCATTCCAGAGGATGCAAGAATCATAATTCAAATTCCAATCCAAGAACATATTGATGATTTTATAGCATGGCGCTTCGACAAAAGAGGTATTTTCTCTGTTAAATCTTCTTATAGAGTAGCAGTTGATAGTGCTGCTTGCGAATCTTGTACATGTTTAACTTCCATCTCAAGTGCAGATGAGGAACACGGTGACTTTGATTGGCAAAAATTATGGTCCCTCCGCCTCCCAAATAAAGTGCTTCACTATTTATGGCGTTTACCAGTACGGGTGAAGCTACAAAGCAGAGGTATGGAGGTAGATACTCGCTGTCCTGTATGCTTTAGATTTGACGAAGTCGGAGGACATTGTTTTTTTATGTGTAAGAAAGTTAAGGAGGTGTGGAGGAGATTAAATATGGAGCATGTTAGGCTGTTTTTGGCTAGCTGCACTAGTGCCTTAGACACCATAGAACAAATTCTTAATCTTGAAGAGGACGTTAAAATAAAAAACATGTTTGCTTCTTTGGCACTGGTGGCATATACGCAATAAGGCAAACTCAGGTGAAACCTCTATCTCACCTGAGGATGTTTGCTCTTCTATTAATTATCATGTATCAAGTGTAATGAAGAGCAAAATGACTATTAAAGGGCAAAAGCAGCAGTTGGACCAAAAATGGTCTCGGCCGCCAAATGGTTTTCTCAAGATTAATACTGATGCATCTTTTCACAAGGAAACCAATTCCGGCGGCTGGGGATTCATCATCAGAGATGACCAAGGCAGAGCCATGGCTGCAGGGGCGGGCAAACTGGCGCATATTTCAGATGTTCTGCATGCTGAAGCTTTGGCTTTGTTGTATGCTATAAAAATATCTATTAATATAGGATGTGACAAGGTTTTTTTTGAAACTGACTCCACGCAGCTGATGAGGGCAGTGAACTCTAAAGATTATGATCTAGCAAATTTAGGAGCTATTATCAGGAGCATAAAATTCCAAATGCATGTGGGGTTTTCTGTTAGTAGTGTTGTAGCTTGCCCTCGGGATTGTAATAGGGTGGCACATGTTTTAGCTGCATATGGAGCTAATCTGGGAGTTGATGTGTGTGAGACTTGGCTGGGCCAACTCCCAGACTTTGTACTGGACTATGTAAAGGGCGATTTGCCCTGTACTGTTATATAATGGAATGCATTTGGTGTTCCTTTCAAAAAATACTAATTCAAAATAAAAAATAGTCTAGAAATTTAAATTTGAATTTTATTTTCAGTATAATGTTGTTGTGATCGGGACAATACGAATTTGCAGGGTACAGATGGTGCAGTAGTGTCATCACCTTTAAAAGAAATTATTCATCACAGAATTTCCATATTGGTTGTTTCGGGACTGATATTTTACATTACCTCAATGGAACGGCAGAACAACACAATTTACTCAATGGAACAACCACCATTTATAATTTTTACTAATGCTCCAACTTTATGTGAAGGTCCTAATCCTCTCCATTGTAAAAAGTAATGTACTCTACCAATAATTTATTATCTAAATAATCTACATGCGTATGGTCATTTCATTTTACCATGTTGACCAAAATGGTCCCAGCCTTCTCTATATTGTCCCTTTTTACTTGGACAGAAAAATGTTGTTTATCTCAGAATGGGATAGCCGACAACGATATCGAAAATAACATATGTCTAATAACTTGACAAACACAAACAAGATGAGCACACATGAATCCACCAACAACAATTTTTTTGGGCGGGCACGACAATTTCATAAAATTAAATTGACCAACATAAATATCCGGGTCTCATGGATCGAAAATTCGCAACTAGAAAACCGATCAGTGTGCTCTAATCCACTACAGAACGAAAGCCAACTCTTCGAAGATCTCAGACAGAGACTCGCATGCTTGTTCCAATTATATCTGACCCGATCCGAAGCTTGATGACAGCAGCACAGGCAAACCAGATGATCATCAGAGATAAAAGAGCGACGAGACAAAAAGATTTTACCTACCAGGGTTTTAACATGTCGGGAACTCTAACGGCGGATAGGGGAGGACGAACCACTACTATTGCTGAAGCTAGAGGCACTTCTCCGTCTCCCTCTAAAGGGCCTGCGCCAAATGAAATAAAAGGAAACAAGAACTCCTTTCTGTTAGATAAATAAATTGGTTTCAAACAGAAAAAACTAACGTCTAATTTCCTTTCGTTGTATTTGAGACGGATTCTTATGATTCACATTTAAACAGGTTGCTAAAATATAAGAAAAATTAGCACCACTTACGACTTTTTTTTTGCGGGAAAACTTCCAATCTATTCATCTTCAATCATGGCAGTACAACGAATACCAGAAATAAAAATTACATCCAGATTCGTAGACCACCTAGCGACGACTACAAGCACCGAAGCGAGCCGAAGGCGCGCCGCCGTCATCGCCCCTCCATCGCCGGAGCCGGGCACAACTTGTTGTAGTAGACAGTCGGGAAGTCGTCGTGCTAAGGCCCCATAGGACCAGCACCCCAGGACAGCAACCGTCGCCGAAGAAAAAATAGCGTAGATCGGAAGGATCCAAACCGAAGACACACGAACGTAGACGAACAACGACGAGATCCGAGCAAATCCACCAAAGATAGATCTGCCGGAGACACACCTCCACACGCCCACCAACGATGCTAGACGCACCGCCAGAACGGGGGCTAGGCGGGGAAACCTTTATTCCATCTTCAGGGAGCCGCCGCCGTCTCGCCTTCCTGAATAGGACACAAACCCTAACAAGATTGAAAAAAACGACTAAAAACGGAGCCCTCCCGCCGGCCCTTGCCATGATCCACCATGCCTCCATGGCCCTAGGGCCACCGGAGACGAGGCGGACCTGCGCCGGCGCCGGCGAGAGGCACGGACTCTAACTTTCTTTCTTGGAGAAGGAGGAGGAGGAGGAGGAGGAGGAGGAGGAGGAGGAGCCCTAGCACCACTTACGACTTGGAAAGGCAAAGGTGACTACCTTTTGTGCGATAGCTGAAAACGTCTTAGCCTGTTGAGGCCGACGGGTTCATGTTATATAGAGTGGGGCGCACCTCCCAACCATAGTGCATACATTGTTAAGATTACATGTGATAGGGAGATATTCAAGGAAGGGATAGAACTTGGAGAGAAAGGAAAGAAACCACCTATCTCTATATATCTATCCTAACAACCTGGTGCGCCGGGTGCACAACATATTATGTGTTTAACACCCTCCCTTAATCACAACTTCATTAAGTTGAGATTATATTTGAATTCTTCAAAACTCCTTGTGGGCAAGGGCTTGGTAAATCCATCTGCAATTAGATCCTTGGAATGCACAAACCTGATGTCAAGTTGCCTTTGAGCAACTCTCTCTCTCTCTGACAAAGTGAAAATCTATCTCGATGTGTTTTGTTCTTGCATGGAACACGGGATTGGCAGACAAATAGGTGGCACCAAGATTGTCACACCATAGGCATGGAGCTTGCTTACTTTTCACGCCAAGCTCTTTCAACATAGACTGCACCCATATGATTTCAGCTGTAGCATTTGCCAACGCTTTATATTCTGCCTCAGTACTTGACCTGGATACAGTAGCCTGTTTTCGTGCACACCATGATATTAAATTAGGTCCAAAAAAGACAGCAAAACCACCTGTTGAACGCCTGTCATCCAGGCATCCTGCCCAGTTAGAATCAGAAAAAGCACTGACAAGTGTAGAAGATGACTTGCTGAAATTTAGGCCTATGTTTAGAGTATTTTTGACATATCTGACTATGCGCTTGGCAGCTGTCAGGTGAACATCAGTAGGTGCATGCAAGAACTGGCAAACTTTGTTAACAGCAAAGGATAGATCAGGCCTAGTAAGAGTTAGATACTGAAGAGCTCCTACAAGGCTTCTGTATTTTGTGCTATCTTCCTGACTCAAAAGTTTACCTTCTGTGAGAGACAATTTTTCTGAGCTGGATAGTGGAGTGAGTGATGGTTTACAGCCTTGCAATCCTGACTTTTTAACTAGATCAGCTGCATACTTTGCTTGAGAGAGATGAAGTCCATTCTGATGCTTCTTTACCTCAATCCCAAGGAAGAAATGCAAATCTCCAAGATCTTTCAATGCAAAATCTGCACTCAAGTCTTTCAAGAGACCTCTGATTGCTTCATCAGAGGAGCTGGTCACAATAATATCATCAACATAGATGAGGACAAATATGCATGTATTGGATTTGTTGTAAATAAATAATGATGTATCTGATTTAAAGGGAACGAATCCAAGTTTTTGCATATTGTGACAGAGACGGGAGTACCATGCCCTTGGAGCTTGCTTTAATCCATATAGAGCTTTATCAAGCTTGCACACATAAAAGGGAGCATTCTTACTTTCAAACCCAGGAGGTTGCTTCATGTACACATCCTCTTCCAGAACACCATGAAGAAATGCGTTCTGAACATCAAGCTGCCTGAGACTCCAACCTCTGGAAACAGCAATGGACAAGACAAGACGAATAGTTGCAGCTTTTACCACAGGACTAAATGTATCCTCATAGTCTATACCATATCGCTGTTTGAAGCCTTTGGCAACGAGCCTAGCCTTATAGCGATCAATGGTTCCATCAGATCTCCTCTTAATTCTGAAAACCCACTTACAATCAATTAAATTTGTACCTTGTTGTGGAGGAACCAAGTGCCATGTTTTGTTTTTCTTTAGTGCCATGTATTCTTCATGCATTGCCTTCTTCCACTTATCATCACAAAGTGCTGCATCAAGGGTTTTTGGCTCATCTGGTTCTCCTGTAGAACAGACCAAACCATATTTAGTTATATGTTTATAATTTACCGGTTGAGTAATCCCTTGTTGCAGTCGTGTGCGTCGCGATGGTGGAGCAGCAGAGTCCATGGCCGCAGAAGATCCAGGAGAGGCAGGATCACCAGCTGCAGTAGCAACTGATCCCGAGGCGGATCCTGTCGCGGCAGCAGCTCCAGCAGGCGCAGAGCTGGCCGGATTTTCTGTGGCAAACTGCTGAAGCACCACATCCTGGCGGGGCACAGAGGATCCCGAGGCCCGCGCCTCTGCTGCGGCGCCGGTCGGTCCACCGCATGTGGGGGACCCGCTGGGTCCGCGCCTGCTGCAGCGCCAGTCGGCCCATCGCTCGTGGGGGGACCCGCTGGGTCCGTGCCCTCCCTGGCGCGTGCCACGTCCCGCCGCTTGTACGTGACTGGTTGGGCCCCGTAGCGCGCGCCGATCGGAGGAGGCCGCATGTCTGGCGCGGGGTCGTCGCGGCGTGAATCAGGCGCAGAGGCGCGTGCGCCTGCGCCTGTCCCTTCTGCGACGGCTGATCCCGAGGAGGATCTGGTCTCCTGCGCTGGCGATCCCGAGGCGGATCCTGTCGCGTGTGCCGCTGGCGATCCCGAGGCGGATCTGTCTCCTGCCACGGGACACATGGGATATAACCCAAAATTTTCACCACTTGCGTCATTTTCTTCACAGTTTTCTCCTGTTTCATCAACATAGCGCTCATGCATGCCATTAGGTGAGTTAGTCAGCAAATGATCATCAACATTTGGTCCCCCTTGATCAAAACTAGTGAGATGAGGTGGCAAGAGAAGGATTTCTTCACGGAGACGAGCACCGGCATTAGGGTGAAGATCAGCAAAAGGAAACTTCGTTTCATCAAAGACTACATCACGGGATATGTACACACGGCCCGTGGAGACATTGAGGCACTTGACCCCTTTGTGCTGAGCACTATAGCCAATGAAAACGCACTGTTTTGATCGAAACATGAGCTTGCGATTATTGTATGAAACGTAGGTTGGGCCAACATGCACACCCAAAGACACGAAGAGACTTGTAGTCTGGTGTAGTGTGGAGAAGCTGTTCTACGAGAGTTTCATGGTTGATGACACGACTCGGAAGCATGTTTATGATATGCACGGCAGTGAGGAAGGCCTCATCCCAAAATTTAAGAGGCATGGAGGCACCTGCCAAAAGGGCAAGACCAACTTCAACGATGTGCCTATGCTTTCGTTCGGCTGACCCGTTTTGCTGATGAGCATGAGGGCATGAGACGTGGTGTGATATTCCGAGTGTCTGGAAGAAGGAGTTCAACTTTTCGTACTCCCCTCCCCAGTCGGATTGGATAGCAATGATCTTGCAGTCAAATTTTCGTTCAACGAGAGCTTGAATTTTTTTGAAAACTTGGAACACGTCAGATCGTTTCTTTAAGAGATAGATCCAAGAAAACTTGCTAAAGTCATCAATGAAGCTAACATAATAATCGTGTCGACCAACAGAAGTGGGGGCAGGGCCCCAAACATCAGAAAAAATTAACTGAAGTGGTTTGGTAGAAACACTTGTAGAAATTGGGTAAGGCAACTGATGACTTTTAGCTCTCTGACATGAATCACAAATTGTTTCATTATGACGCTCACCAACAAATGGGATCTTATTTTTCCTAAGCAACCTTTCAACTAAGGAAAAAGAGGCATGTCCTAAACGATCATGCCATCGTGTGGAGGAAAGCTTGATGGCACCACAAGCTTGTTTATTGTGTCTTCTAAACTCTGGGATCAACGAGTAGAGGCCACCAACACATCTACCGCGATAGAGAATTGTCCTCGTTGCCTGATCCTTGATCAAAAAGAAGTAAGGGTGAAATTCAAGGAAGACATTATTGTCAATGGCAATTCTATGGACAGAAAGGAGACTTTTGTTGGCGCTAGGAACATGCAAAAAAATTCGAAGATGAATGTTGCGATTAGGGGTATGAAATATTGAGTGACCAAAGTGACTAATACTCATACCTTCTCCGCTAGCAGTGTGGATTTGACCCTTGCCGCGGTACTTCTCTTTCATGGTAACTTTCTCGAGCTCGTTGGTGATGTGGTTTGTTGCACTGCTGTCGACGTACAGTTTGTGTCAATGCCATAGGAGCCGTCAGCAGCGGCAGCAACTTTCTCTTCATCTTGTGAGACGTAGTCGTCCTCTTCATACCGGTACCAGCAGTCCTTGGCTGTGTGCCCGACTTTGCCGCAGATCTGGCACCGGGGAGCATCCGGGCGGTTCCTGCCGCCGCCGCCAGCACCGCGTCCACGGCGCCCGCGGCCACCAGATGGAGGTGGCGGGGCACCACGGTTGCCGCCACCAGACCTGCCCTTGTTGCGCGATGGCCCACGCGATCGGGAGCCGCCTCCTCGCCCGCGAGTGGCCACGTTGGCAGAAGATTTGAAGCCGCCGCCGCCGGATCCTTGGAAGTGAGCCATGCGTTGATCGAAGTTGGATAGCATGGCAAAGAGCTCATCAAGTGATACCTGGGTGACGCGAGCGTCTAGGGCAGAGACCAGAGGCTGATAGTCGGCGTTGAGCCCGTGGATGATGTAGGAGGCTAGCTCGTCATCGGGGATCTCCTTGCTCGCGGCGGCCAGCTCGTCGGCGTAGCCGCGCATGGCGGCGAAGTAGGAGGCGACGGAGAGGTTCCCCTTCTGCACGTTGATGAGGGAAGTTCGGATGTTGTTGATGCGGCTGGCAGATTGCGAGGGGAACATGCCGGCGAGCATCGTCCAGAGCACGCCCGCGGTGGTGACCGTGGTCACAGTGAGCAGCACCTCGCGCGTCAGATTGTTCAGCAGGTATCCGAGGACCTGTTGATCCTCCCTGACCCAGATTGGGTGGAGAGGGTTGGGCGATGAAGTCTCCTTGCCGTCCTTGGTGGTGACGAGGAGTTTCGCCGGCTCCGGCTGAGTGACATCGACATAGCCGAAGACACCAGCACCACGCAGCCGGGGAATAACTTGCCTGCACCATAGCACATAGTTTGTGCGCGTCAGCTTCTCGGTAACCTGGCCATTGAGGCTGGTTTGGAAGGCGCCGGAGGAGGAAGACATGGCTAGGGCTAGATGGAGTTCGTATGGAGCTTAGATGGGAAAAGGATGGCTCTGACTACCATGTGCGATAGCTGAAAACGTCTTAGCCTGTTGAGGCCGACAGGTTCATGTTATATAGAGTGGGGCGCACCTGCCAACCATAGCGCATACATTGTTAAGATTACATGTGATACGGAGATATTCAAGGAAGGGATAGAACTTGGAGAGAAAGGAAAGAAACCACCTATCTCTATCTATCTATCCTAACAACCTGGTGCGCCGGGTGCACAACATATTATGTGTTTAACACCTTTGAGGACTGCGACTTCTCAGTACCCTTCCGGCTCCCTGTACAAGAGAAATAATCACCCCTCTTTCCCTTTTTTCCTCAAAAAAAAAAGACAGCAATAGTTACGAGTTTACCCTTCTTGGCGGCGTTGGTGAGTCAGAACATGACGAGGATGACCGCCCACGCCTCACAGGAGCTGCCCGGCCCCTGGTTCCATAGAGTGGTTTGTTAACACAAAGGGGATATTTATTTACACTGCTCAGGAGATAGCGCTGCAGTGGCAGGCTGACTGTAAGTTTTCTTTTATCTCATAAAAGGTGCACAAACCACTGATCCAAAATGATACAAAAATAAGATATGAACCTAGGTCAACAACACCATTACCTGACGGGAGAAATTGATCTGGAAAGGGAGCGAATTGGTCGACGAATTGGAGATCTGCTACGACGATAAGGAGGTGGCAGCCTTCTTGGAGGACTTCTCATCCGCATTGGAGGTGTCCTGCAGAATGAAAGAATGGTTAACAGACATAAAATGCAAGCAATACTTTTCATAAACAGCTTTTTCTTATATAATAACTACTCAAAAAGATAACTGGAAACTAGAGCTGCATGAAATAAGAAGCTTCTTATATAACCAATTAGATTTGCTACACAGGACTCAATTTATCGTCCCAATGGTTCACGGAAGTTAAGACTGAGTAACTATCCAAGAATAATTAGCAGGCATCGTCTTCTTATTTGGAACTAGAGCTGCCTGGTATTAGCTACTTCTTATATAACTAGATAAGCTACAGACTGAGATTCATGAAAATAAGGCTCAAATAACAGCTAGTTGTTCAGATGAAAACAGAATATGTGAAAAGCTTATACTATGGCTCTTAAGGGCATTTTGGCTGGTATGTTGATGCTGAGTGTTCAGAAATAATTGAAGTACACTGATGTTTTGGGTACTAAGCATGTTCATGACAGATTTTTCCTTTTTATGGCTAAATAATCACAGATGAAATGAGTTTGGGGAAAACTGTCGAGATATTGGCTTGCATTTTTGCCCATCATAGCACATTTTCCTTAGACTGTTGACTGTTCTGTCTCTTGAAACAGATTAGAGATAGATCGGATAACTAGGCAGACCAGGGATAGGATGGAGTGCATTAATGAGGTTGCGACTGAAAGTTCTACACACAAGGGGTTATGGGTCCAATGTGATATTTGTGATGCTTGGCAACATGCTGATTGTATTGGTTAACCTTGGTAACACCCAAAAAAGACTTGACCGTGATGATGATGATGATGATGATGATGATGATGATGATGATGATGATGTGTTCTCAACCAGTGAAAAAGGCACCATGAAGTCAAAATGTAGAAGGCAGAAGAGAGCCAAATATTGTATTGCGGAGTCAGAAGAAAACGACATGTGTGTGGTGTGCAGCTTAAACTACTACGGAGTATCTTTGATGCTACATTGACGGTATGCCCATCACCGATATTGGCACAGTGGCACTCTGAAATGACTTACATCCTTCTAGGAGCGAATGGAGAACATCTTCGGACTGGACTAGCATAACCTCTTCTGGGTGAAAAGCTGCAACCAAAAGAAACATTTCAACACTTCCCAATCACCGCGCCAATGACAAAAGAGAATGCATCTAGGCGTTACTCACCGCCTTGGTGATCTGTGCTGGAATTTAGTCTATTTTGGACAGGCCAATAACTATTTCAGAAATTCCTAATAAATCCTAGAGGCCCACTTAGCCCATTTGTGCAAGGCAAGGGATACTACTAAAGTTTAGTCCCACATTGCTATTTTAGTGGGAGTTGGACCTCCTTATAAGGGAGGTTCTTTCCCCACTTGTATGATCATGAGAACAAGAGGGATATCCACGCGCGCTCCTCCTCCGCCGCGACGCGCCGCGACGCGGGTTGCGGGAATGAGCCCCGCGTTCCCTTCAGTTCCCGGCGCAGCCTCTCGCCTCCTTCTCTTGCGCCTAAAAGGGAGCGCTGCTGCTACGATCTTCCCCATCCCGGCTTACGGGATAAGGGTGATAAGGTTTTTGGGGAGAGCGACTACTGACTGATTCCTTTGTCACGGACGCCCCGGACTCCGACGACTACTTCCCCGACGTCGACAACCTCCTCGACGACATGGCCGGCGAGGACACCGACCCCAAGTCCAATGCTACTGCTGCTGTTGTCCCGTACGTGTTCTCCTTTCTGTTAGATGTCCTGCCACAGTTTCTCGTACTAGTACTTGCTCTATATATGTTACGCTCTACTTCATGTATGCAACTAGTTCTACTGTTTGCTATACATGCTTTATCTAGTATTTCTGTTAATAAAATCATTTGGTAAATTGCTCATATTTCCAACAATCCAAAAACCTTATTATAGGCAATTTACACCAAGTGATTTTGCTGCTTCCATGAGACCTCCTATGTTTGAGGGTATCCACTATAAGAGGTGGCGCGTGAGAGCAGTCTTATGGTTTCAAACCATGAGCTGCAATGACGCCACTCTTCGCAAACCTGAAGGGGAGCTTGATGCTCAACAGGCACAAGCCTTTCAAAAAATGGATACTCTGTTTAAGGCTGCTCTCTTGAGTGTTCTTGGTGAGAACATAGTTGATGCTTATGCATCAATTGATAATGGAAAAGATATGTGGGATGCACTCGAGGCCAAGTTTAGGGTCTCGGATGCTGGCACTAAGCTGTACATCATGGAGCAATTCTATGATTACAGGATGACTGAAGAGCGCTCCGTGGTTGAGCAAGCTCATGAGATACAGTCATTTGCTAGAGAACTTGAGCACTTCAGTTGTATGCTACCGGACAAGTTTGTTGCCGGAGGTATCATCACTAAGCTTCCTCCTTCGTGAAGGAACTTTGCTACCTTACTGAAGCATAAGAGGCAGGAGTTTTCCGTTCCGGATCTCATTGGCACTCTTGATGTGAAAGAAAAGGCGAGATCAAAGGACACACATGCTCGAGGTATTGAGGGAGGATCTAGTGACAATGTGGTACAGAAGCAGAACTTCCAGCCCCACAAGTTCAAGAACAAGGGCAAGTTTGATGGTAAAGCAAAGTTTGATGGGAAGAACAAGGCTGTGCAACACACGAACTTCAAGAAGAAGAATGGCAAGAAGAAAGGTGCTTGTCATGTGTGTGGGGATCCTGATCATTGGGCTCCTAGTTGCCCTAATCGCTATGACAAGCGTCATCCTGGGAAAGGCGGCAAGACCGCTAATGTTGTCATTGGAGACACTGACATGAAGGATGCTGGGTATGGTATATTTCCCACTATTCTTTCAGTATGTCATTCTCCTGACTGGTTGATTGACACGGGTGCTAATGTGCATGTATGCGGTGATATTTCCATGTTTTCTTCTTATCAGACCGCAGGGACTTCAACCGTGCTGATGGGCAACGGTTCAAGTGCTTCTGTTCATGGTGTTGGCACGGTCGATCTGAAGTTTACTTCGGGGAAGATCGTGCGGCTGAAGAACGTGCATTATGTCCCCTCCGTCAATAAAAATCTTGTTAGCGGATCTCTTCTGTGTAGAGATGGCTACAAGCTTGTCTTTGAGTCGAATAAATTTGTAATATCCAAGTATGGAACCTTTGTTGGTAAAGGCTATGAGTCAGGAGGCCTGTTTCGTTTATCCTTATCAGACGTTTGCAATAAAGTTGTTAATCATATTTGCAACAATAGTGAATCAAATATGTGGCATTCACGTCTTTGTCATGTTAACTTTGGTTGCATGTCGCGACTAGCGAAGTTGAACTTAATCCCTAGTTTCACCACTGTCAAGGGATCTAAGTGTCAAGTGTGTGTGCAAGCTAAGCAACCTCGTAAGTCTCACACGACTGCGGAAACGAGAAATCTTGCACCACTAGAGCTCATACATTCAGATCTATGTGAAATTAATGGTGTTTTGACAAAAGGTGGTAAGAAATATTTCATGACGTTACTTGATGACTCCACTAGATACTGCCATGTGTATCTTATGAAATCTAAGGATGAGGCTTTGAACCTTTTCAAGATCTATAAAGCTAAAGTGGAAAATCATCTTGATCGAAAAATCAAGAGGCTTAGGTCCGACCGTGTTGGAGAGTATTTTTCCAATGAATTTGATGCTTTTTGTGCGGAACATGGTAAAATCCATGAGAGGACGCCTCCCTATTCACCTCAGTCAAATGGGGTGGCTGAAAGAAAGAACCGTACTCTAACAGATTTGGTTAACGCCATGTTAGACACTTCGGGTCTCTCGAAGGCATGGTGGGGGGAGGCGATATTGACTGCATGTCATGTCCTAAACCGAGTTCCCACAAAGAACAAAGAGATAACTCCATTTGAGGAATGGGAGAAGAAAATTTTAAAACTCTCTTATCTATGAACATGGGGTTGTTTGGCGAAAGTCAATGCTCCAATTCCAAAGAAGCGGAAGCTTGGACCAAAGACTGTGGATTGTGTTTTCCTGGGATATGCTTTTCATAGCATTGGCTATAGATTCTTGGTTGTAAAATCTGAGGTACCTGACATACATGTCGGTACGATCATGGAGTTGAATGATGCGACTTTCTTTGAAGATATCTTTCCCATGAAGGATATGGCTACCTCATCAAATCAGGAGATGCCTAGTTCATCGAATCAGGAACCAGTTACAATTACAGAACCTGCCATTTCGATGGAACACTTTGAAAGTCCTGTGGAGGAGAACAATGAAGTTCCTACTAGGAGTAAGAGACAGAGGACTGCAAAGTCCTTTGGTGATGATTTTCTTGTGTATCTCATAGATGACACTCCCAGTTCTATTTCAGAGACCTATACATCTGAAGATGCTGACTACTGGAAGGAAGCGATTCGTAGCGAGATGGATTCCATCTTGGCGAATGAAACCTGGGAGATAACTGATCGTCCTTATGGATGCAAACCTATAGGATGCAAATGGGTATTCAAGAAGAAGCTTAGGCCTGATGGTACTATTGAAAAGTACAAGGCTCGGCTCGTGGCTAAGGGTTATACCCAAAAGGAAGGTGAAAACTTCTTTGATACTTACTCACCTGTGGCTCGACTGACCACTATTTGAGTTCTGCTTTCACTAGCTGCCTCACATGGTCTTCTCGTTCATCAAATGGATGTTAAGACTGCTTTCCTAAATGGAGAGTTGGACGAGGAGATTTATATGGAACAACCAGATGGGTTTGTACTAGATGGTTAGGAAGGAAAGTGTGCAAGTTGCTGAAGTCTTTGTACGGACTTAAGCAAGCACCCAAACAGTGGCATGAGAAGTTTGAAAGAACTTTAACAGCTGCAGGCTTTGTTGTGAATGAAGCTGACAAATGTGTGTACTATCACCATGGTGGGGGCGAGGGAGTTATCCTGTGCTTGTATGTTGATGACATACTGATTTTCGGAACAAATCTGAGTGTTATTAAGGAGGTCAAGGATTTCCTATCTCGTTGTTTTGAGATGAAGGATTTAGGAGTGGTTGATATCATT